ACATAGTTAATGAAGCACAAACACTTTTCTGGAATTCTTTGCTTCCAGCCAATATCCATCTGATGTCAGTGATGATATCCCTCATTCCATGTCCTCTTTTGAATCCAGTTTAAATTTCTAGATGCTTCCTAGTGATGTACTGCAGCAACCATATATGATTATCTTCAGCAAAATTGTACTTGATAATTTTTTTGGCTCACCTTTCTTTGGAATGACCACAAATATGGAAATCTTCCAGTTGGTGGGCCAGATAGCTATCTTCCTAATTTCTTGGCTTTTGTTGAAGCCTTTCAATTGGTGTTTCATCAATTTCTAAAGCCTTGTTTTTTTGCTAATACCTTCAGTGTAGCTTAGATTTTTTCTTCAATACCATTGGTTCTTGATCATATGCAACTTCCTGAAATGGGTAAATATTTTTGGTACAGTGACTCTATGTATTCCTTTCATGTTCTTTTGATGTTTCCTGCATGGTTTAATTTTTGTCCATAAAATCTGTCAATATTACAACTAGACGCTTAAATTTTTTCTTCACTTCTTTTGGCTTGAGAAATGTCGAGTGTGTTCTTCTCTTTTGGTTTTCTAACTCCACTCTTTGCACTTTGCATGATAATACTTTACTTTGTCTTCCTTGCTACCCTTTGAAATATCTTTTACCACTAGCTATTCACTAGAACACTTATGACTGAAGACCAGACAAGTTGCAGGATGATATCAAGAATATAACAAACAAAGAAAGCAAAGAGTCATAAAAAAGAGTGAAAAAACCAAAATGGATGTCAGAAGAGACTCTTGAAATTTGCTTTTGAACATAGAGAAACTAAAGCAACTGGAAGAAATGATGAAGCAGGCCTCCAGTATATTGCTTTGTTTCATTATCTTACTAATGTGTATATCTTGTCCAGTTAGATGGTAAACTATCTAAATAAAAGAGCCTTGCTTTAAACATTCCAAGCCTTACACGGCATATGATAAGATACTCTGCACATAATTACAAATGGATTAATAATAAACCAGATAAGAAAACTACACACGAGACTTCTAGTAAAGATTATTAAAATAAATGAGACTTTGTGAAAATTTGCTGTATTAGGACTCAGAAGCAAGATAACATAGTGGTTAAGCACACATGCTCTTTGTTGTTGTTGTTAAGTGCCATCGAGTCGATTCCGACTGGTGACCCTGTACAGGGTTTCTGAGGAGCAGCTGGTGATCTTAAACTTCATACCTTGCAGTTCAAACGTCTTTGCAGTCTGGCACATTAACCCACAGTGCCACACCAGGACTCCTGTGCTCTAGACAGGTTCAAATCCTGGCTTTGTCTCTTATTAGCTATATGACTTTAGATAAGTTACTTAACCTTTCTGTGCCTTAGTTTCTTTCTCTGTTAAATAAAAATAGTAACTAATAACAATAATTACTATATACTCACTTCATAAGGTTGCAGTATAGACTAAATAAATTAACAGATGTCAAGCATTCTAGCATGGCGTCTATGACTTAGTGAGTTCTTATTGTTAGCCATTGCTAATCTTTTGTGAGTCTAGAGAATTTCTTTGAGGACTCCTGCTGATGCTTGCAGCCTAATGAATTGGAATCCTGTCCCACAGAATTACAGTCTCAAAATGGTGGCTTTCAAAATCTCAGTTACATTCTCAAATGTAGCATATAAAATAGACTGAGAAAAATGAGGCCCTTTATACAACTCCAATTCATTCTACCAACACTGTCTGCAATTCTGACATGACTAGACAAACAAACCTTCTGTCATAGAGTAACCTCAGGATATTTGAGAACTTCCTAGGGCAGCCAAACCTGCAGAACAGCTGCCGGAGAGTTAGCTGGGCTCACTGATGTTATCAACTGCCTAAATAAAGTCAACAGACTAATTTTTCAGTATTTGTTCTGTGTCTGCTTTCCCACAAAGATCATATCCAACAATACACCTTGTTGCTTAAAGTGACTCATTTATTTCTTCTTCCAGTTACTGAGGGCACAGTGTGTCCCAGGTAGCAGGGGCATAGAGAGGATATAGCCCTTGCTTTAGGGAGCTCATACCAGTTCAGAGCTCACATTGGACATGCGCTCCTATGGGGTATGTTCTAACAGTAGACCCAGCCAGCATTTGTTCTGAGACAAGGCGTGCTCAAGTGGTCAAGACCTTATGTTTTGTCTGTATGCTCAAATATGGCAACTACATTGACTTTATATCCCTCACCTGTGTGGAGATGGCTTTCAACTGGGGACTGGCAATCTCTGGAGACACTTTTGATTGCCATAGCTGGGTAGGGGAGAGCTTCTGGCATTTAGTAATTAGAGGCCAGAGATGCTGTTAAACATCATACAATGCAAAGGATAGCCCCTATAACAAATAATTATTTGGCTCTTAATGTCAATAGTGCCCAGGTTGAGAGATCTTGGACAGATGAGCTCTAAATTTCTTTATAGCTTTAAATTTTTGATGTCTTCTGAAAGCCTTTGCTTTGTTTTAGTTTATGCAAATGTTTAGATAGTAGCTTTCTTCTTCCCTGAGTGGAAGGCCATCTAGTAATGTGGTACAATCTTCTAGAAAGTGCTAGAATAATTTGTACCAGTCCTGTCAGAATGCTGGTCATGTGAGGGGAAGTTCATTACTTCAAATCTTGGCAAGAATCTCCATGGCATTAATGGCCAACTTCCAGTTCTTAGCAGACTAAGACAGAAGACTTCTCTGAAGAATGTTAATCTACCTGTTACACTGAACCTTTGCTTTATACAGTAGTTTCATTATTTACTCTCTTTTTTTTCATAATAACAATTAATTGGAAGCAAAAATCACTGGCTTAAATTTTACTTTCATTTTTCCCAGCTCTCATCCTTTGGATATGTTGTGTTATTGTTAAGTGCTGTCGAGATGGTTCCAACTCATAGTCATGCAGAATAGAGTTCCTGAGGAGCTATTGGTGGGTTTTAACTGTTGGTCTTTGATTAGCAGTCCAGTGCTTAACCAACAGTACCACAATAGGACTTCTTTGGATATGTTGTTATTGTTAAGTGCTGTCGAGTTGACTCTAACTCATAGCAACTTGTAAAGGGTTTCCAAGGAGTAGGTGGTAAGTTTGAACCACTGACCTTGTGGTTAGCAGTCTGGTGCTTACCCTACAACACCACACCTTTTGATATAGATATGATTAAATGCACTCACAATACAGGAGTGTCAAGAAAGATATCTACTGACAGTCTGGATTTTTATACCCTAAGAACTCCAATTGAGCTCTGGTAGCATAGTGATTACGAATCAGGCTACGAACTGCAAGGTCAGTAATTACAAACTACCAAACTGTTCTGTGGGAGAAAGATGAGAATTTCTGCTCCCATAAAGATTTACAGCCTAGGAAACCCTGTACAGGTTTGTTATGAGTCGGAACCGATTCCACAGCACAAAACCACCACCATCAAGAACCCCAATTCGCTCTATCATTTCATAATTTCTAGGAGTTTCCTATTTCAGATTCCATGGCTCTTACGTAGCAGAGGATGATAGCCTCCAAGCAATTCTCCAGTGTACAGAAAGTACAGTAGCATCCAGGAGCAGGGCTCTGTCCTACATAGAAAGCAAAACCTCCATGCAGAGAATATGCTACTTCAATCCACCCTTAGTTAAAGGGGAAAGTCTGTTCTGTATAGGTAATGAACAACTGTGCCAACATTACAGGCATTACTGACTTCTGGCTGTGGATTTATAGAGTACTGGACTTTCTAATCCTGGCTCTACCATTTATCAGTGTGACCTTGAAATGACCTTTAAGTCAACCTTATTTTCTTTATCTTCAAAATTAGAATAATGACAGTATCTACTTCATAGATTTTCTTTCAGGATTAAATGACATGATATATGTCAAGTGCCTGGACATATATCAGTTATGTAATTCTCAATTAGAATATAGTAGTTGTTGGTGCTAGTGTCATTATTGTAGGGGGTTCAAGCAATTAAACAAAACAAAACAAACCTCTTCTACTTAGTATGACCCTATAGGATAGAGTTAAACTACCCAATATGATTTCTAAGGCTGTAAATATTTATGGATGCTGACTGCCACAAATTTCTCCCATGGAATGACTGGTGGGTTTGAACTGCTGACCTTTGGGTTAGCAGCCAAGAGCTTTAATCACTCTGTTACCAGAGTTCCTTCAAACATGTAGGAGAGAGACAGGATTACTGTTATTATCCAGAAAGCTGCTTTTGTTTTTGAAGTAAAGAAACAATGTTTATATGCACTCCTTACCAGAATGACATCCAGTGCTTTTTGTAAAGGAAATGAAAGATAGATACTAGTTTCGAAAGCCATGATAAATTAAAACTTGCTCTTCCCTCCTACTGCATTCTTAAGTCCCTTTCAAAACTCTCTACCTTTCTATCATCTGCAGCCACAGGGCTTACGCAGGAAGGTACAGGTAGATCAAGAGTTGGAACCATGAACAAGCAAGGAATAGAAAATGTATAGTGTCTCAAGGTTGCTAACATATGAGCACAGTGATAAATTTAAATTGAAGCCTTTGATGGAAGGTCATTTTGCGTTAGTCCCCTTTCAGTCAAAAGCGTCTTATCTATCAGAGGCTTCGTCTTTGAATACAAATGATCCTTCTGAAAGGATCCAGGCGGAGACCAAGCATGTTAGCAAAAGATGGCCGCCACTTCCATTTACTGCTTCATTTTTCCAACCCGTTAGGGCTGTATGAGAGTAAAATATCAAAGATACTGTTGATGGTGTAAGTGGAAACACAATGGCCTCACTCCTTTCTGGCACAGTATCCTGCTTGAGCATTTTAGTACTAGAGCCAACAGGAAACCAACCATAATTGGGAAACTTTAGAATCTTTAGGAGAAATCTAAGTTGCAAAGCAAATTTAAAACTGAGCCAAGAGGAACCCTATTTAAATAGGTACCCAACCTGGAATTACATCAGTTTTGAATTCCATGACCAAATAGCCCTTTAGCAACATTCAGTGCTCATGCTACTTACCCCAACAGCTCCCGTCATAGGCACAGGAGTTCCTGCAAGGCCATCACACCTGTGGAAAGAATTTAAAATAATTTATTTGAAGACGGGCCTAGATTTTACCAGATTTTTACCTTTGTCCTTGTATCTTGATATTGAAACAAAATATTGTTAATGCCTCAAAGGAAGACATTTCTTGGTTAGTCCATTGCTGAAAAGAAGGAAAGAAAACCTTTTCCTACAATTACTCAGAAACAATGTGTTACATCTTTGTCAGTCAGTTTAGCAAGAAACATTTAGAATAGAAAAACAACAAAAATAGTTACAGACGTTAAGTATTTACTATGAACCAGGCATTATTCTTATATTCTCTGTGCATTTTTCTTATTTATGTATTCTTAAATGACCTAATTCTGTATTTTTACAGATGAGAAGATAGAGGTGAAAAAAAAGTTTGAATTCACAGCCCAGGGTACACAATTAGAGGCTGAGCCAGAAGCTGGCCACACACTACCTGGATCTAGAACATTCCTTTCACACCACTATGGAACTTCTTGCAAATGGAAAACACAATTACAATTCTGTATTTTCCATTTGCAAGAAGGTTCATAGTACCTATGGCTTCATATGATAAGCACTGGACTGCAATTTGAAAACCCTATACAGGGTCATGAAGAATCGGAACCAGCTTGGTATAATAACAGCAACATAGATTTTAATTTACAGAGTAATTAAATCAGGAACAGACATCCATTCACAAGGGAATTAAAAAAAAAAATCTGTGAAAATGGCTTCAAGGTGTTTAATTTAGTAAAGACATCTTACTTATTTTGTAACCATCTCAAAGGAGAACAATTTTGCTTTTGGTATTCATGTTGCTTGTCTCAGGTTCAGTGAATACTAAGACACAGATCCAAAACTGAGACAGAATTTGTTCTTTTAAATTTATAATACTATGTCAAGGGTTGCTCTGCTTGAATCACAACATAAGAGTTAAGAGACCATAATGATGACTTCTGGTTTTAACGGCGACAGAGCAGAGTCAGGTAGGACAGGTTCCATGGGGTATGGGCTGAAAACCCAGAGAAGCTGCTCTCACGGAACAGCACCAGAGCTCTGGATCTAGCATAAGGGTCATGGCGTCAGTTTTCCACAACTGCCAGTGGAAAACTCATGGTATAAAGGAAAATATTGTGATTTAGGAATCGGTCAAGACACAGGACTCCTTCTGCAGCCATCCCACCAGGGCAGAGGTCAAAGGGCAGGGCTACTGTCAGACCTGCACAATGAACAGGCACTAAAAATGGCACAGTGACACTTGCAAAAGGAGCTGTGGGGGGATTCTACACATTTTTTCCTTCTTTTCCCTTTCACGCCTTTTTTGCCCAGCCCAGATGCCTTCAGGTGGGTGGGTATGCAACCCAAAAAAAGTCCAGTGTTGAGACCACAGCTTTCCCACGGCACAGAGAGAAAGAGTCCCATTGGTCCAAGGGCATATTCTTTGGCTGCTGCTTTTGACTTCTGCCTGTGGGTCCCAGCCCTAAAATTAACTTGTGTGGGACCCTTTACTCCTGTCTATCCAGTAACAAAAAAAAGCAGGTTTGGCCTGACAGAAAAACCATATGAACAATCTGTAAAACCCCAACATGAAAAAAAGACACAACTATTTCAAGAATTACACTGTGCACACGCAGATACCTAACTGACCTTCAGAGACAAAAATAGTAGACAATCTTTCTCCCATTAACTTCTCAGTATCTACCTGCACACCTCTACAGTGGTGACTAGAGGAGGGGCCTGAGTGAGTGGACACTCACACCCACTACTGGAGGCTTCTATGGTACACACACATGGCCTGTGTGGCAAGCCGACTGGTCAGTCGGCCACAGTTTTATTTTTGTTTCAAGGTGGTGGTTTTTGTCTCTGCTTTTATATTGCTTTGGATTTTGGGTCTTTTGATCACACATTTTTCCTGGAAGTGGGAGCTTTTTCTCTCTATGTTACCCAAGAAGAGTCAGCAATCATGGCCATATAGCCAAGCTACAAGCATACCCCATAATATTCCACCACTGAGACAAAAGCCAATAACACCTGCTAAGCATTACATGTGAAAAGGAAAACCTATCTCCTGATTATATCCAGCAGGAGACACCAGTAAGCTTAATAACACAGTAACAAACATCCATTTAAGCATTAAAAACCCACATAACTACAGGAAAGGACTAACAAAACACAACAAAAGATATCAAAACATGTCCAAAATGAGAAAAGAGTAACTGAGACAAATGAGCTGGAGACAGACAAAGGCTCCCAGAAGAGGAAGAGCAGGTTTTGGATTTGCCTGAGAAGGAATTCAGAAGAACGATATGGAAACAAATTCAAATGCTCCAGAAAGGGGTAGGAGGCACACAAGGAAGAAGTCAGGAAAGCACTACAAGAGCAAAAAAACAAGATTGATACAGCATTGGAAACAATTCAAAACCTGCAAAAAGAGGTTCAGATGATTAATAATAAAATATCAGAAATGGACAATACATTGAAAGGGGAAAGGAGCAGAATTGAAGAGATGGAAGCCAGTACCAGCGAGCTGGAAGACAAATCTCTCAATACAGCTAAGATAGAAGAGCATGTAGAAAAAAGGGCAAAAAAAGCTGAAGAGAGTCTCTAAGATTCATGCTGGATAACATGAAGAGGAACAACTTAAGAGTTATTGGCATCCTGGAACAGGAAGAATCAGAGAAGTCCACAGAGGAGATAGTTGAAGAGCTTCTGGAAGAAAATTTCCATAACAGCTTGAAAGATGAGAAGATAAACATTCAAGAAGCCGAACGTACCCCAGGAAGGATAGACCCCAAAAGAAAATCATCAAAACATATAATAATCAAGGTATCCAAAATCAAAGACAAGGAGAGAATACTAAAAGCAGCCAGGGAAAAGAGAAGTGTTACTTAAAAAGGCAAGCAAATCAGATTAAGCTCTCACTATTCAGCACTATGAGTCGAAGCCAACTCCACGGTATTTAACAACAACAACAACAACAATTCAGCACAAACCATGCAGGCAAGAAGGCAATGGGGA